TTTTTTCTTTTATCTGTTCAGCTTGGGTGATTTCCTCTATTCCTTCATCCAGCTCACTGATCTGTTCTTCTGTATCATCTACTCTGCTACTGAGTCCCTCTGGTGAATTTTTCACTTCAGTATTGTATTCTTCATTCCTGATTGGTTCTTTTTTATATTTATCAGTGCTTTGTTGATCTTCTCACTGAGTTCATCCATTCTTCTCCCAAGATCACTGAACATCCTTATGACTTTTTGTTTGAACTCTTTGTCAGGTAGATTGTTTGTCTCTGTTTCATTCAGTTCTTTTTCTGGGGTTTTGTCCTGTTCCCTTGCTTGGAACTTATTCCTTTGCCTCCTCACTTTGCCTCTTTCTCTGTGCTTATATCTATGTCTTCATTGGTGAGGTTTGTCTCCTGGTCTTGGAGAGGTGGCCTTATGTAAGAGACACCTTATGAGGCCTAGCAGTGTGTTTCCCTCTCATCACCAGTTCCAAATGTTCCAGGAGTGACCCCTGTGTGGGCTACAAGTGTCCATCTGTTGTGGCTGGGTTGCTCTTGCTGCAGGTGCCCAGGGAGTCTAGGCTGTCCCCCTGGCCAGCTGGTTGTAAGTCTCAGCTGCATGTGGCTGCTCTGGACCCTTCAGTCACTTTATTGGGTTTGGGGATCCCCAGCACATTTGGCTGCAAGGTCTAATAGCACAATCCTGCTGCAGTTTTGCTGTTAAGTGAGCAGGCCCCCAGCATGGCTGGCTGCTAGGCTCAGAGGCTTATAATTGCTGTAGGCATCCAGTCTGCAAGGCTGTTGTTGGCTCTCTCAAGCATGGGAGCACCCAATTGTTTCAGGCTTTGGAAGGTGGGGCCCATCCCCTATGTCACTGTTTGAAAAGCACAAGTCTTCTGCAGGTGACAAGTCCCACAGCCCACAGGTCCGTACACAGTGTCAACACAGTCGTGGCCCATGCACATGTCCCAACCCCCTGAAGTGGACCCAGTCACCCCACTGCAGAGGCCCCCACACACTCCACCTCCTCCTTGTGCATGCCCTGCCTTGCAGAGATAGATCCACTTGCCTGCCTGCAGAGGATCCAGGCATCTGGTCTATGCAGGCCCACAAGTTGCTCCAGGGCTTACTATTGGGTTGGGTCAGTCCCTATGGCGTGCTGCCAGCCCTGGAGGTGCTGGGTTAAATTGTCACCCTAGTGGGCAGGGCATACCCTGGCTAACAGGACAGTGGAAGAACTCCAATGGCGTCTGCCAGCATCTGTGTCAGCATGCCTGTACTAGGTCACAGTGATGGCTGCTGCCAATGTCTCAGTCCCTGGAGAGGTCTCACCTCTCACTGAGATCTTCCCAGAGCCTATCAGGTGGGTCTTTTTTCAAGAAAAGTCTGTGCACCTTCCTTTCTGGTGATTTTAGGTTGCTTTCCAAAACGGGTGAATTTGTGCATGGACCTTTTGAGAGCTGGCTTTCTTCCACTTACGTCTGATAGCTTTTCTAGGGATATTCCCCATTGTAGTTAACAGCCAGCAAAGCCAGATATTATGGGACTCATATCAGTTGTGTTGAGTCCAAAGGGTGCTTATAGTGGTAACACTCCCTTGCTCAGGTCCCCCGCTGCTCCAGGGAAGGCTGTGTACCTTAGAATTCCTCCTGGCTGATCATGAAGCTCCACAGCTCAAGAAGGTGGCTTTTTTCTCTCCAGAAAAGAATTTCTTCCTCTTCCACCTCAGTCAGGACTGTTGCTGTGGGGGTTCTTTTTATCCAGTTTTCAGTTCTCTCTCAGGGGTAATTGTTCCAAGAATAGTTTTAAATTGGTTGTTTCCATGGGAGGAGGCAATTTCAGAGTCCGCCTATGCTGCCATCTTGTCAGCAACCTTTTCCTGATAGTGTATTTTAGTGTATCCCTTTGTATAGCTATTTTAGTGGTTGCTCAAGGCATTACATTACTTATATGTACCTTCTCACAGTCTATGTCATCATTTTACAAGTTTTAACAGAGTATAGAAGCTTTGCCTCCTTTTATGCTCCTTTATCCTCTCCTGTTATAATATTATCTTAAATATTTTCTATACATATATTTAGAACCACACGAGATAGTTTTATAGCTTTTCCTTCAACCATCAAATATAATTTAGAAAACTCAAGAGAAAGAAAACCTATTGTATTTAGTCTTATTTTTTCTTTTTTTCTTTTTTTTTTTTTAAAGATTGGCCCCTGAGCTAATAACTGTGGCCAATCTTTTTTTCTTTTCTTCTGCTTTATCTCCCCAAATCCCCCCTAGTACCTAGTTGTATATCTTAGTTGCAGGTCCTTCTAGTTGTGGCATATGGGATGCTGCCTCAACGTGGCCTGATGAGCGGTGCCATGTCCGCACCCAGGATCTGAACCAGTGAAAACCTGGGCCACCACAGCAGAGCATGCGAACTTAACCACTAGGCCACAGGGCCAGCCCCTTATTTTTTCCTATCTTATTCTTTATTTATCTTCCTTTTTTATTCTTTCTTTTCTCTTTAGAGACCTTCCTTTAGCCATTCTTTTAGGGAAGATCTTCTGGCAATAAGTTCTCTTAGTTTTCCTTCATTTGAAAATATTCTGATTTCCTCTTTATTCTCAAAAGATATTTTTGGTGGATATGATTCTGGGCTGACAGTTCTTCCTTTTTAGCACTTGAAAGACATTATGCCACTTCCTTCTGACCTCCATGACTTTTAATGAGAAATCTGCTGTTATTCAAATTGTCTTTCCCCTATAGGTAGTGCCATTTTCTCTCACCATTTTAAATATTTTTTCTTTGTTTTCAGAAGTTTGACTATGATATGTTTTGGTATGGATTTCGTTGAGTCTGTCCTTTTGGTTTGCTCAGCTTCTTGAATCTATAATTTATGTCTTTTGGCAAATTTGTGAAGTTTTAGCAATTATTTCTTTGAGTAGTTTTTCAGGTTTGCCCTCTTTCTCCTCTCCTTCCAGGGTCTGAAGACATGAATGCTAACTCTGGTTATATTTCCACAAGTCCCTGAGGATCTGTTCATTTTTTTTTCAGCCTATTTTCAATGTTGTTCAAATTGGGTAATTTCGATTGTTCTATCAGCTCGCAGATTCTTTTCTCTGACCCTTCTGTTCTGCTGTTGAGCCCATCTCTTGAGTTTTTTATTTCAGTTATTGAATTTTATGTTCTAAAATTTCCATTTGGTTCTTTTATATCTTCTATTTATTTGCTGAGACTTTGTTTCTTTACTGAGAATTTTTATATTTTTATTTGTTTCAGGCATGTTTGTGATTGCTCACTGAGGCTTTTTTCTAGTGGATCCTTTAAAGCCTCTGCCAGATAATTCTAGCATCTGTGCTATTTTGGTGATGGCATTAATTGACTATCTTTTTTCATTGAGTTTGAGATCCTTCTGGTTTTTGGAAATGAATAACTTTATTGAAACCTGGACATTTTGGGTATGATGTTGTGAGACTCTGATATTATTTAAACCTTCTGTGTTAGCTGACTTCACCTGACAGAAGAAGAGGGTGTTGCTTCAATCCTGCATTATGGGGGATAAAAATACAAGTTGCACACTTGGCCTCTGTTGACAGCCAAGGGGAGGGCCTCCTTGCTATAACTAGGCAAGAGTAAAAGTTCTGTCTCCCCTATAGGCTTCCACCAATACCTCCTTGGCTTGAGTGTGTTGAAGTGCCTTGTTACTGTTGCCCACATGGTCTCTACTGACACTGTGAAAAGAGGAGAGGGCCTCATTTCCACCCTTATCACTGAATGAAAGTCCTGGCTCCATACTTGGCCTTCCCTGACACCACTCTTGCGGAGGAATTGGGGTGGCTTATTACAACCTGGTGAAGGTGGAAGTCCAGGCTCCTCAGCAAACCTTTCCTGGCAGGGATGGGAGTGGGGCCACATTTTTACTAGGGTCTTTGGCTGAAGTAGACTGGCCATTGTCTCAAAGTTTTCTGTCTTATGAGGCTTCCCCTTTCCTGGTCCTTTGACAGGAGAAAGAAGTCTTTTGTTCGTGCATTTTTTTTCTGTGTTCATTGGTCTTTCTAGGATCCAGCTTCTTCATTTAAACTCCTGGGACATGTGAGGTGAAAGGAAAACCCAGGGAACTCACCTGCAAAGTGCCTTCTTCTCTCACTCTTTCGGAGTCTTCCTACATTTGTTTTCTGTATAATGCCCAAAGTTTTTAGTTGTGCTTAGCAGGAAAATTAGGTAGAAGTATGTCTGCTCCATCTTCCCAATAACAGAAGTCTGTAATTGCATTTTTTAAAAACCAAGGCGGTACCATCAAACTATTACTATGATTAGCACTGGGGATAAAGATGGGATTTGGAAGGTGGAGAGTGTTAAATAGACCAAGTTTCTGTATTATTTATATAATTTTTACAAAGATGATATATGACTTTAACAAATTTCAAACCTTTTTTTCATTTTCAATCAAATTAAAGTTTGCAAAAAAGATTAGCAAACAGACATGTGAATCATCAAATGTAAAACCAGGGGCTTCCTTACTGAAAGAAATTAAGAAAGCAAAGACTTGATTATCTTAAACATCAATGCATTTTTTCATTAATAAAAAGTTATTTGGAAATTGCTCCTCCCTTTCATAACCTCAAGTTACTCTGAAATACAAATGGTAGTTTTAAAAACAGTGGTGTATAAGCTCACTCAGAAACCATTTATACCTCTTTCAATCTAGTTAGGATAGTTAGCTGTGAGAGTAGTTTTATCACCAAAGCACTAATAGAAATATCTTCAAAACAATACGCATAAAGGCACGTTATGTTTTATGACCTGAACTTTATAAGACATATCTTTTCTTTCAGTACTGACACATTCACCCAGGTCCTGCTTATTATATATATATATATATATATATATATATATATATATATACATGTGTGTGTGTGTGTGTTCTCCCTAAATATCTGTGGAGGAGAAATTACATCCATTCAATAGTGGTGAGAGAATTTCTTGGCATCATGGACTCAGGTATAAAATTAGGAATTTAAAAGGTGTCTTTACCTGATGTATTTTTAGATTTGTCTCCCCATCCAGATTAGATGTTGAAACATAACATGCTGACTGAGGTTCACTAAGGAGAATAAAGTAAATAATATTGAATTAATATCTCTTCAACAAATTAATTTCCCAATGATGGTACTATGAAATATGATCTACATCAATAACTGTTCTTCAAAACTAAGAGGACTACAACAACTAATTTCCCAGGAGATATTACCACTCTGATCATACCAACCTAAAATTCATCTTCCAGAATGGCTCAGGAGAAAAATTTCTACCCTTACAGACCTGTGTGATTACTCTTTAATCCCCCCAAAAGAAACAATTAAGGATAAATGGGAGCTGTTACATAGCTCATAACAGACCAGAGTCACATCTGAGGTCAAATATAAAATTCCATTATTTTCTAAAACGGGTCCATTGTAATCCCCAAAGGCCCAGGCTCCATAGTCTTCAGAATGAGGGTAGATCTTCCCAGACAACTCTGGACAGAGCAGGGGCCCTGAGACAGACATTGCACATGGGGCTTCTCTGTTTCCATCTAACCTCAACAGTCAGAGAATCAGGGCAAACATTTGCCTTGCCAAATTTTATTCCATGTCAAATGCAACTCATGATAATTAATCACTTTGGGGGAAATGCCACAAAGAATAACAAAAGTTCTCCATTAAACTTTACTTAGTCTTAAATTCAGACATCTCTTTTGACTGTATCTCATTCACTGAAATATCAGGTTTGAGGTGAAACAATCTATTAATTTTGCTAACCAAGACCATATACCTCAAAATGAAAATGTAGCTTCACTAGGGTTCCAGTGATATCACAGAGTAAGGACTTCAAAAAAGCCTCTCCTCTATAAAAACATAAGAAAACTGACAAAAGTTATCAGAGTTAACCTTTTCAAAATTCTGAAAATTAACCAAAGGCTTAAAGCAACCCAGGGAAATTTTGTTCAAGGAAATAGCTGAACTTTGGTTAAAGAAAAACAGGGGGATTTGTGACCTTTTAACTTGCCCTCCTCCCACTTCCCACTTTTAGCTCAATGGTAGCTTTGAAAAATAGCAGTCTGCATTCCCAGTACGGAGAGAGCAGAACAGAGCCTCATTCCAAACAGTCATTATTTGACCTGTATGATGGTTCTCTGGAGGACCCCACTGGAAAGCTTGTTTTCATCTGGCCTGACTCAGAGCTCACTCAGTGCTAAAAGCCTCTCCCAGGGGACTCATGGGGGCATTTGTTGAAAACATTTACAGGGAAGTGCTTAAATGTTGCAGCTGCCTGAGGTGATGTATAACACTTGGGGTAAACAATAGACTAACCAAAAAGCTTAAAAGAAAAACTCTAATGAGCAGCAACAAAAATAATTCCTGGGGAGGATGAGGAATCTGATTGCCAGAGATGTCACATTTTATTACTTAAAATCTTCAGATTTCAACAAAAAATCATGAGAGGTGGAAAGAAGTAAGTATGGCCCATACACAAGGTAAAAAAGCAATCAATGAAGACTGACCTTGAGGAAGTCCAGACACTGGACTTACTAGACAAAGATTTAAATCAGATATGCTAAATATGTTCAAACAACTAAAGGACATTATGCTGAAAGAAATAATGTGAGAGAACATGTCCCACTAAATAAAGAATATAAAAAAATCAATATCAATATTAAGTTGAAAATCAAAATTAAATGAGAATATTAATATTCAAAAGAAACCAAATAGAAATTCTTGCATTGAAAAGTACAATAACTTAAATGAAAAAAATCACTAGAAGGGCTCAATATCAGACTTGAGCAAGCAGAAGAAAGACTCAGTGAATTTGACTATAGGTTAAGTGAGATAATCCAGTCTGAGCAACAGAAATGAAAAAGAATGAAGAAAAATGAACAGAACCTCAGAGACCTATGGGACACAATCAAGCATACCAACATACACATAATGAGAGTCTCAGAAGGAGAGTTGAGAGGAAAAGGAGCAGAAAGAATATTTAAAGCATTAGTGGCCAAAAACTTCCAATATTTGATGAAAAGCATTAATATACTCATCCAAGAAGCTCAACAAAATGAGACTCCAATATACTCAAAGAGATTCTCGTCTAGACAAATCATAATCAAATTATTGAAAGTTAAAGCCACAGGGAGAATCTTGAAAGCAGCAAGGGAGTGGGGCCAGTCCAGTGATATAGTGGTTCAGTTCATGTGCTCAGGGTCCATAGGTTTGGATGCTGGGTATGGACCTACACACCACTCATCAAGCCGTTCTGTGGCAGGGTCCCATATATAACGTAGAAGGAGATTGGCATAGATCTTAGTTCAGGGACCAGCTTCCTCAAGCAAAAAGAGGGAAATTGGCAACAGATGTTAGCTCAGGGCCAATCTTCCTCACCAAAAAAAAAAGAAAAAAAGAAAGCAGCAAGAGAGAAGCTACTCATCACATTCAAGAGATGCTAACTATGATTAACAGATAATATCAAGCTGAAACTTTGGAGGACAGAAGGCACTGGGATGAAATATTCAAAGGACTGGAAAAAAAATGTTAACCAAGAATTCAATATCCAGCAAAACTACCTTTCCAAAATGAAGGAGTAATTAAGACATTCCCAGATAAATAAAAAACTGAGAGAGATTGTTGATAGCAGTTTACCCTATAATAAATACAGTCAACGCACTGCATAATGACATCTCAGTCAATAACAGACCACATATATGGTGGTGGCCCCATAAGATTAGTACCATATAGCCTAGTTGTAGGAGACTATACCACCTAGGCTTGTGTTAGTACTGAGGGGAGGAAGAAATTTTCCTCTACCCCGCTGGGTTCTTTTGGCTGATCTAAGAATTAAATTGACGTGAGACAGATTGAAAGGAGAAATACAAACAAAAGTTAAACAACATGAATACATGTGAGAAACCCAGGAAAACTGAGTAACTTACCAAAATAGCTGAAGCCCTTACCTTAAATACCATCCTCAGCTGAAGACAAAAGATGTTGACGGTGAGGAGTCAGGGACTTCAAAGGGAAGAAAGGCAATTCACAGGTAGATGAAAAGAAACAAACATTTGAAAAACAAGTCTTTGGCCAAATAGAAACAGAAGAACACAAAGGGGAGCCCAAGAAACATGCTTGTCTAGGTTCCTCCCTGTCTGCCACCTGGTTCATGTTATGCTAAGGTGATAGCTCACATCCTGAGACAGACTTTTTTTTTAAATCTGAATTCCTTTAGATAGTTAAGCGAAAGGTAAGAAAAAAAGCTTCTGAGTCTTTCGTTTCTCAAAAATAATTAGCCTATCGGGCCAGCCCCATGGCCTAGTGGTTAAGTTCAATGCGCTCCATTTTGGCAGACTGGTTCAGTTTCCAGGCATGGATCTACACCACTCATTGGCAGCCACGCTGTGGCGGTGACCCACATACAAAATAGAGGGAGATTGGCACAGATGTTAGGTCAAGGTGAATCTTCCTCAGCAGAATAATAATAATAATAATAATTAGCGTAAAATAATCCTCATATTAAAGAGACACATTTTGGGGTGGCAAATTTTGTTCCCCTTCAGTACACTCTACGATGTTCACAAAACTGCAAAATTGCCTAATGATACATTTCTGAGAACACATCCCCATCATTAAGTGACGCATGACTGTACTAAAGGGAGTGCTTCAGGCTAAAATGGAAGGTCGCAAGGCCGTATGTGAATCCATAGGAAGAAAATGAGAGTGCCAGTAAAGGTACTGTATAGGAAAACATAAACATAAAACATAAAAAACATAAAACATATATATATATATATATATATAGCTTGTTTGTAATGCTTTTTCTCTCCTACCTGATTTAAAAGTCAACCACATAAGGAATAATTATAAATCTATATTGATGGTCACACAGTGTAAAAAGATGTAATTTGTGATAATAACAGCAAAAAGGAGGAGGAAGAGGAACAGACATTTTGGAGCAAAATTTGTGTATATTTTGGAAACTAAATTGGTATTAATCCAAACTAGATTGTTATAAATTAAGATGCTAATGGTAATCCCCAAGGCAATCACTAAGAAAATAACTGAAACATATATAGTAAAAGTACATATATAGTAAAAGAAACTAAAGAGAGTTAAAGTTATGCTAGTATATATCTATTTAGGACAGAAGAAAGCAGTGACAGGGGAACTGAAGAAGAAAAAGACATAGGATATAAGAAAACAAATAGCAAATGGCACACAAAAATCCTAGCTTATCAGTAATTGTGTTAAATACAAATGGATTATGTTCACCAATTAGAACATGAAGATTGGCAAAAAGAGCTTACAGAAAAAAACAAACATGATACAACTATATGCTCTCTACTAGCTACTCATTTCAGATTTAAGGACATAAATAGGTTGCAAGTAAATGGATGGAAGAAGATAAACCATGCAAAATAGGAAGCAAGAGAGCTATTGTGGCTACACTAATATCAGACAAAATAGACTCTAACACAAAGTTGTTACTAGAGAGAAAGGAAGATATTTTATAATGATAAAAGGATCAATCCATCAAGAAGATCTAACAGTTATAAACATATACACACCAAAGAACAGAGGTCAGAATACATGAAGCAAAAATTCACAGAACTGAAGGGACAGACAATTCAACAATAATGGTTGGAAACTTCAATACCCTACTTTCTATAATAGATAGAATAGGTCGAGGAACGTAAGCAGAAGATTGACAAGGAAATCAAAGACTTAAACAACACTCTACACTAACTAGAGTTAACAGACTTCTATAGAACACTCCACCCAACAAGAGCAAAATATACTTTCCTCTCAAGTGCACATGGAACATTCTCCAGGATTGACCATATGCTAGACCATTCAACAAGCCTCGATAAACTTAAAGTATTGAAGTCATACAAAGTATGTTCTCTGATCACAATGGAATGAGTTTGGAAATCAATAAGGAAAACAGATTTTGGAAATTTGCAAAAATGTGGAAATTAAATGCATACTACTAAATAACCAATGGGTCAAAAAGAAACCAAAAGGGAAGTTAGAAAACACTTTGAGGTGAATGAAAATGAAGATGCAACACACCAAAGTTTAT